TCCAGTGGGACTACAAAGGAGGGTGTACAGCTGTTGGAAATGCTAAGGTGTTCATTACTGTAGGTGTTTACTGCCTTGGCTCGAGGCCGACACCAGGCCATGTTCATGAAACCCAAACACTAACCCGCGAGGCCGGAACAATGAATAAATGTTACGCTCCTCTATACTGTAGCTAGCTAACACCACCAACACAGCAGACAGTAGGTGTCACACCCGCATCAGAGCGGACCAGACCATGCCCACCTGAACCGCCACGCCTCCAGAGATCATCCTTCCCAGAATTTCGAACAGCTGCAACTCATCTTCAGTGATTAAATCCCTGATTTAAGCTTAGTCCTATCCAAATTCTTTGTGAAGTATTGACTGCACCGAAGGATGGGCAGTATTTCGGATGCATGGATTAAAATTATTTTAAACGCTTTTTTTTTTTTTGTATTTGAAGTAATTCATAAAAAATAGTATGTAATTTGTGCCAAATATTTTGATGTTCAGTATTTTTTGCATTTTGGAAATACAAGAAACACTTCCCCCATAATATATGTTTGATGACATCTCGTGTGCGAGACGTTTGTGCATACACAAGGAGGAAGTTTCGTTTTTTCTGACATTTAACAAATGATCATTAGACCCAAGAGTTGATCACTTGTGTTGAACTAAAAGACATTCAAGCATTATTTAGGGCTATTCATGTATAAAGCTTTTAAGATGTTGCTGAGTGAAGCGCTTGAATTATGTTTGTCATTTCTCATTTTAAATTTTGTTGTTTAAATTTATTTGCGTCATGGTGCAAAAAAGGAAGCAGTTTTGTCAATTAAATTACAAAAGAAATATCCTTCTAGGTTTTTCATTATTCATCATTCGATTGTGTTCAAGCAAATAGTTCGAATATATTTAAGACACTTCAGAATATTTGATCTTTTAATCGGTTTCACGTTTGTCTTGTTAAGGGGTGAAAAAATGATGCTCTTAAGTCTTGGCCATTTCAGTCAGTCTGCTTGTAAAGGAACAGTTTCACGTGTTTTTGTCCGTCTCTGTGTACCATAGGGGTGCTTTCCATTGCTTTCTTATCGACCGTCTGCCTCTACCTACCCTTTTGCTTTTGGCTTTTGGCTTCAGCTTGCTTCGTGTCTCTCTGGCTATTTCTGACTACGACTTGAACCTCCAGATTAAACATCAATTCACCCTGATACTGGATCCCTTCAGTCTGTTCATTATAGTATGATGGCTGAGGAAATGGACCTGAAAAGTGGGAGGCAGGGGTGACCCAGCTCTTACAAGTCAAACATGGCTCTCAGATTACGTGTCTGAACTGCTACAGTGAAACATCCATCTGCTCGACGTTTACTCAGGCAGACAAGAAGTGTACAACTACACACCAAACAGAGCAACAGGGATGCAAAGGTTTCTGCTATGAATCTAAGTAACAGGGAGCAAAGTTTTGTCTCTTTTTCCAACAGACACGTATATTTTGGGAAGTCAGCGCCATAGTGGATTACATTCAGGACTACAGATAACTGGGAAGTCTCAGTTGTGCCAGAACCAAGATCAATCAATACAAGAAAGGATTAACAAGAAAATGTAAGATGGCACCATCTACTACAAGAACATAGAGGTTACCTGACCATAGTTTAAGGTCCAGTGACAAGTTTTCAGAGCAAACCAATATCACTCTGGTCTCCTAGAGTAGAGCCTCCTTAAAGGTGAAACTATAATTGCAGGGTAATAGCGTATTTTTCCCTGCCTTCCACATCAAGCAAACCTAATCTCGAATGGAAGCCTACCCACAATTCCTAGTGCTGCTAAATTATTCCAAGATGGAGCTGATCATCGGAGACCGGACAAAACGCAGACAGCTGCCTCAAAATCACCTTAATCCCAATTGAAACCAAAAAAACGAAAACAAATGCTGCCCTTTGTTCATAATCCAGCAACGGAGGAAAAAACGCGGCCTTTAAAAATCCTCCACCAGAACTGGAACAGAAAAACCAGTTAAAAATCCATACTGCTAATTCAGCATTTGCCATTTGGCTCTAATGATGCAGTAAATTCCGAATATCCTCCCGTCACTGTCCAATAAACAACAAGTGCATAAACAAGAGAAAACCATCTGCAGAGAGCTGAACATGAGGAACACAGGCATGCTAGTATTTCAGCTTTAGCAACAGGGATGGAGTTCCAGAATCCAGATTAAACTGAGCTTTTGAATTAATCTCAAAATCTTACGAGTTTGGATGTAAATCTAGATGGAATGGTGAAGGTCTATTGATCTGTTCTGCTAGTGGCCCACAAAGGAAACCAAACCACACCTGTGATCTCCCGAGCAAGAAGAAAATCAGACTCGCAGTCTGAGAAGAACGCTGGTTCAGCCAATTAGAGAAGAGTTGGGAAGGTCTTCCAGGTTGCAGCCGCCTAACAATAAGCCCTCATCTCTCGCTTGACACGGACCGATGGTTTGCAGTCATCCATAAAAACATTAACACTATACCATATTTGGGCATCCTGTTCCCATGTAAAACAGCAATCATTTCCCTTCATTTCAGGTCACTTGATATAATTTACCTGTTTGTACAATTCTATAATTTTCCGTCTATTTTTACTACTTTGAGAAATGTGGGCTGCCTTGCATAAACTCGCCTTTGTACAGTCATATTCGTTGAGTTCTGCTTTTGCAGCCTTCACACTTCCACATCCTTTCACATCCGTGTCCAGTGAGCCCTGCATTTACATAAGTTCTGCTTGGCACTTTTGGGCTGATACAAACGGATCCTGACAATCTGTGTAACCTCATTTCCATCCCCAGGCTGAGCTCCTCAAAAGTCACTCCACCTGAAGCTCAGAAGCAAGCTGAATTCCTAAATGACTTATCTTACCAGAGAAGCACACATGTTAGCGGGTAGTTAGGCCTCGGAGTCACTTGGAAGGCGTAGCTAACATTCTACGTACCCGCTAATGTTTTCAACGTTGGCCTACTCACGTTACGCATGTTTCACATAGCGATGCACGACACGCACCTCCTACAGGAGTGCTTTTACGTCAGAAAGCATTCGTTAATTTTATGTTTTGCCGTTAAACAAGGCACTGTGCTTAGTACTGTGTTTAGCCTGAGCTATTTCGGCCTGGCAGAGGTCAGAATGAAAACCAGGTGTGAGGCTGGGCCAGGCTCTGAAGTATGCGGGTCGTAGCATCTACTCGTCTTCAGCGGTGTCCGGGAAGCCGGCACCCAGAACTTCCACTAGAGACGCCAAACACGCTGGGTCTTGTGACAGAAAACAATGAGATCTCCCTTTTAAAAGGAACCTCTGCACAATAGCTGCTTGCGCCACAGCTAAAATCTTGTTCTGTAGACTTAACAATTCTATTAAGTATTATGTTTGTTGGTCGGGGGAAGCACTCAGACAGGATCCCGGGTTCAGGTCTAATCCCCGGCTCCCTGTGTTAGCTGTATGACTGATAGGCGTATTCCAGCCTGTGTGTGAATGCAGGTGCCCTGCGATGGGCTGCTATCCCATCTGTGTCTCCCCCTGCCTTGTGCCCTAGGCCAGGGCTCCCCCACCCCCAAGGCTGTGGGACACTGGGGGGGGTTCATTTCCAAAAATAAACGATACATTTTCAAGCCACAGCTTTTTTTCAACCGCTGAAGCATTTTCAGATCACATCTGAAAGAAAACGGAAACAGCTAAAGTGCCATAAATCTGGCTTTGCCGATTGATGCCCCCCCCCCCATCCCCCCACCGTATGGGCAACGAGTTTTACCAGTCTGTGAGATGTTTCCACATTGAAGTCATCAAAAGGTTGGGAATACCTAACCTATGCTGCTTACTGTGACCCTGTAGAGCAGTGTTTCCCAATCCGGTCCTCGGGGACCCACAGTCGGTCCATGTTTTTGCTCCCTCCCAGCTCCCACAAAAACGTGGACTGTCTGTGGGTGTCTGAGGACCGGATTGGGAAACACTGCTCTAATGGATAAGCAGCTATAGGAAATGGATGGATTAAGCGGATATGTACACATTGACTAAGCGTGAGGGTGGCGAATGTGACACTGCACGACCCCTTAAAAGGAGCTGACAGCGTGAAAGGTCTGTGGCCATGTTTCACTGCTCAGAATGATGGATAAAGTTAATCATTGGTGCGGTTATTGTTGCTGTTGTCAAGGTCTTCCTGCTGGAACGCTGCCATCCTCACTCTATGCTCCACTGAGCTGTATATAAGGAAACAGACTCTACACCCAGAGACAGCATCATCAGCTCTCACCTCGTCCAGCCATGCGGGACCGGAACCTCAAAGAGCGAGGAGCATATCTCAGTGTTCATACTGTCTAGAGGTGCTACATAGTAAATGTGTGTGTGTGTGTGGGGTGGGGGGGGTGGTCCTACCTTCCCCTCAAACCGGGCCGTGCCCCCTTGGCTGACCCGGGCGTTGCGGGGGGGCAGGATGAAGGCCGGCGGCTCGTTCCTCGGGGAAGCCATCGCCAAGGTCAGGTTGGTCTTGGAGATCTGAGTGGCAGTCACAAGCTTAACGTCTCCCATCTCTGCAGGGGAAAGGACAGAGTAGGATTTTACACTAAAATAAAATGTCTCTGTAACAAGGACTGATCCATTTGTCCATACACTCTTAGCCTAGATGCAGGAACCCTAAAGCCATACTGGAATGTTAGGCAGAACCTACTGGAGCCTCAAATGCTGCAAAATAGTCACACCTACATTTCATGAACATTTCCCTGGGTTGGTAATTCCTATCAAAAACAGTCAAAATCCAGTGAAATGACACGAAACGCATTAACAAAATCATGGCCAGTATTAGCCCATGAAGCTTCTTTTGAAATCACACATTAACTTAACAGCTATACAAGAATGATATCTTGCACATGGGAAAGCTAGTTTCAGCAATATCTGCTGATTTACATGCCTTTCTCATGCTTCATACAGCTGGTTTTTACAACATTCAGTATATTATGGCTCTCAGTGTTGACATTTCTGCCCAAAAAAAGCACTCAAATAGCAGACGGCTAGAATGTTCCATCTTCCATTCCGAACAACAAGGATCTGACAGAGATGAGGCCTGAGTTGTATTTGTGCTCCTGCTCAGATCAAACCTTAGCAGAATTAACATATTTAAAGTCTTAATCTTGACCCTGTCTAGATATGCAAGTCTCATAATTGTGAACTTATCTGAAAAAATTTAAAGGTCCACTAACATACCAGCTAACAGACAGTGAGATGATACAAGAGTGATCCGTTGCAATTATAAAATAGGATGTGGTGTATTAAACAGCACCAGATCTTTTATTTATAGACCAGTAAAACCAAATATTTTATCATTCTTACAATGGGTCACCTTCCAACCTTAAAGATCTTTGACAGTCACTCTTTCTGAACGCCCAGATGAAAGCATGACAGGACTCAAATGCTGAATACGATGCACAGTTTCCATCTTTCTTCACATGAACCTGTGGCCATTAATGTTCAGACCCCAACACCAGCTGGTAATGTCAGGGTCAGCCTCCCGCTGTGGTCCTTCCGTGCCCCTTCCCCGTTTGACCAGCAGGTGGTGCTGGTCATCCCGTCCTTCATGTTTGTCTTTGAGTTTCCCCTCTTACCTGTCTGGTCTTGTGGCTCAATGTGTAGAGCATGTGGTTGTCTGAGTTTCCTTCTGTCCTGT